GGTGAGATACTAAGAATACAGTATTGGATGAAACGTAACATTCATAAAATAACCAAGGACATGTGCCTGTGTCAATCCGGTGTCATTCTGATGCTGTGGGAAACGGAACTGTGATGGTGATGTAATTCTTAAGCCTCACACAGCTCTTACATAACAGCAGGATGAGCCTGCCCTGCCATACAGAATCATCAGACTACTATTAAATCATGACCAGCAGAACAGAATAGAACACGCATTTCACTCACACACACACACACACACACACTCTCACTCACACACACTCAATCACTCTCTCGATTCAGTGCTCTTTAATGGCTATTGGCTTATTCAAAGTCGTGAAGTGTCTGAGTGCAGTCTCTGATGAGGAGATGCCGTTTTGGAAAGCAACATATAGCACAGGCCAATCTTGCACGAGTCAGTATGTTGTATTTTGTTTGTTATTAATAGAAAAGGGGAGTTTAAATGATCAAATCACCCAAAAATGAAAATTCTGTCATCATTTACTCACCCTTAAGTTCTCCAAACCTGTTTGAGTTTCTTTCTTCTGTAGAACAGTTGACGGTAGCCATTGACTTCCACAGTATTTTTTCCCAGACTATGGAAGTCAATGGCTACCGTCAACTGTTTGGTTACCAACCTTCTTCAAAATATCTTCGTTTGTGTTCTACAGAAGAAAGAAACTCAAACAGGTTTGGAACAACTTGAGGTTGAGTAAATGATGACAGTTTTCATCTTTGGGTGAACTACCCCTGAAATCTACAAAGACATGAAAGAGAAAACCAGAGGCAGAAGAGATTAGTGATGTTCTCATTTGGAAGACTAGTTAGTGTATTTCATATGTTCTACCCAGTTACTGCATTAACCCACAAACAATCTCCTGCTACTGGACAAAACCCAAACAACTGCGCATCCATTAAAGAACCCAATCAGAGTCTAATGTAGATATTTGCCACACAGAACAGTTATTGCCAAAAAATACTGTAAGCATATGCGGGTGCTTGAAGTGACATGGCTTTAATGTGACCAGAGTGTTAAATGGTCTAAACATGTTCACATAGTGCTATTAAAATGCATTGGTACTGACATCTATTGATTCTAAGCTATTATTTCTAAGTCTGGAACATGTTCTTCTCTGCTTACTCTAGAAAAAAAAAAAATCGAATGATTCAGTCTAAATAAGTAGTGCTTTAGCTTTAGATTTTACATCAACAGCAATGCAACAGTTCCACATGTTAATTATACACAAGTAAACAAACACTTAACATCAAACACTGTAATATGTAGAATTATTCACGACATACTTTCTGTTATGGTTTCTGAATTGTGATGGTGCTCTTGGCAGTCAAACATACACAAAGCACATGGTGGTCAGCACAAACTGGGTTTGGTTTGTCCTCATTTCAAGAGAATCTAATGTGGTTTCATATTTTATCGTGCATGGATTTGTTCATGGTTTTTGAGCATGAGGGCAGGTCACACAACCTGTACATGATGTCACCATTCACACTTTCTCCATTAACCCCATTAGAAATGAAGGATCACTAATTATGGCTGCGTCTAGCCTATTGCAATAAAAGAATAACTTGGCGATGTTTCCAAGCACGTTCGGTCCGCAGCATGAGTGCTCCAACTGACCTGAGAAACATGTTATTACGCAGATATGATGGATGCTTTTCTGTATTTCTGTCGACTGAAACCAATCTTTCGTGAATTAGTCTAGAGACACCTTTGTTCTGCTCCACGGCTCTCGCTGATGGTTTGGTCCGAAGAGTCTTTTTTTGTCAAATAAGTTTTTATTGAAAGACAAAGATTTTGAACATGGACTTGCAATCTTACATTTTCATCTCTTTTACCTGTACAAAGAATACAATCAAAATTAGAAAAGAGAGAGAGAGAAAAAAAACCCATCACAAACCATTCCATACCAGACCTGTTTCCATTAAATTGTAAAGTATGAGAAAGAAATATCAAAACATTACATTAACAAATGATGCATTAGTCCATAAGATTTCCATCAAGACAACAGAGAAACGGGTGCCAGATTTGGTCAAACTGTTCACATTTGCCCTTCTAACAGCATCTAATTCATTCCAACTTATGTAAAGTAGAAATCATCTCTCCAAGCCATAATTTGACGGTAGGAGCCTCCTTTTCTTCCAGAACAACAGTATTAACTTCTTGGCTGTGATTAAACTGTATGCAAGCAGTTTGTGTTGGGCTTCTGATAATGGATGCATTGCATACATTCAGAAAGTGGTCTGAAGAGTCTCAAACAGAAGTGTGTAATAGTTACACGAATGCTTGACAGACTCGAGAAAATTGCAATTTCTCTCAGAGTTGGCTTTTTAACATGAGCATGTATTTATTTGATTTATTTATGCACTTTAGTGTTGTTGTTTTTGCAAAGAAAAAAAAGACAATATTCATAAATTTACCACATAATCAACACACAGAAGGCTCATAAAAATCAATTTCTGACTACTTTTGGTGTTGCTGTCAACTTTCTACTTTCAAACTAGCAAATGATCAATTCTCTCTTAAAAACAACAACAACATCCACAAGGCCATCAGCAATGTCCAACACCTTTCTTTCTCATCCCATGGACTTTCTGCCAATCTGGAAATCAAGTCCTGAATACAAGTTCATGTTTAACACTAGAAAAACCTTCTATCCAGCAGTATAACCTGCTGCCTTCATGTCTGCCCATGCAGGGGTGCTCAGAAACATGGCACAGCTCTGCTTGATCATAGCTAGAAATCAGGAAAACTGATATATTTTAGCAATGATGTCGAACATAATCTGCACCTGTATAATCCACCACAATAGCATCCACCAAAAGAATAAACCATATTTAATACTTATAAGAGGAAAAAAAAAGAGAATATATTTCTCATCCTTCGGGTTTTAATAAAAGATCCCAGATTGCACAAAGATAAAGTCAACAAATACATCATCCAAGATCATTTTAAAGCCACTGGCTTGCCAAGTACAATACATCAACTTGTATTGTAGAACTTGCATTACAAGCTATTTTTAAACAACAAACCAAAGACTAATTTTACCATGCAACATACATTTCCAAAACAATACATCTGTATAACTGTATACTGTACAGTGCTGGGGAGTAGCAGAATACATGTGACGGTGTTACTTAATCAATGACCTAACCTCTGAGTTTTAACTGAATGAACAGTTTGAATGCACATTCATTAGATATGCCAAATGCTGCCGACAGACTAACTGCAATACTTCACAGAATTGTAGTATTGTTTAATGTTATCATAGGCCTAATTCAGCCACTGTTCTTATTGCACTTATCTTAGTGCAAATGTCTATTCTGTATTTTTCTGTTGTGTTCTGGTTTCATATTAGCAGAGCATTTAGTTACAACTACATGACAAGTTGAGCAGACAGTTTCTGTGAAATCTCAGCTCTCTTTTATGTAACTACCACGCATGACAAGAACAAGACAGAAGAGATGTGCTAAAACAAGTGTTAAAAAGCTTGAGCAGTTATGAATCACTATTTGTGTTTCACTTGCAAATTACATGGGCACATTACACAAACAGCTTACTGCATCTCAAGGCCTATCTTATATATATATATATATATACAGTGGGTACGGAAAGTATTCAGACCCCCTTAAATTTTTCACTCTTTGTTATATCAATATTTAGATTCTTTTGCACGCTCAGATTCCAGATTTTCAAATAGTTGTATCTCAGCCAAATATTGTCCAATCCTAACAAACCATACATCAATGGAAAGTGTATTTATTCAGCTTTCAGATGATGTATAAATCTCAATTTTGAAAAATTGACACTTAAGACTGGTTTTGTGCTCCAGGGTCACATTTAGGCAAATATTCACCATATAAGCAAATTTCCAAGAATAAATACTGCAGGCAAAACAGGACAAATCTGCCTCTACTTAACTGAGAGAAGGTAAATAAGGGAGAAAAGCAGTATTTCACAGAGCAGCCACTATATTGTGTCACGACTGCATGAAGGTTGTGTATGAAGTGCAGCGCGCTGTGAGCTGAAGCAGTGTGTGAGGAACCATCTGTTCTCCAGAGCAGCTCTGAGTCACGCAGCGGCTGCTGGAGATCTCAGAGCCCACGATTCATCACAATCTCTCTCACAGACTGTGTAGTTTAAAGTCAGGCAGTGAGATGCAAGCCCAGCTTTACAACTCACACAATCTCATATTCACAGCAAAGGCAGTGGTTTTCAACCTTGTTCCTGGATCCTTTTGGGTTTGTAATGAATCAAACACCTGATTTAGGTTATCATGAACAGGTTTGAGTAGAGGGATGATTAGAGTGGTTTCAAAATGACCCTTAAAACGACCAATTATTCCTGCGAAATCTTTTCTGCACAAAGCATCAGTGTTCAATGTTCACGTCATGAGTGGTGCTAAGAGCATCATGGCTTTGAAGTGTCACCGGATCACGACTGCTTTAGAGGGCAGCTATTATGTAACAACTTTCTTCTAGGCATGTTAAATATTCATGTTCACGCGTTTTCATTTCATCGGTGCTAATAAACACCTCACGAAAAAGCACTGAGCATGCATTCATTCTGTGAACAGGTTTGAGTAGAGGGATGCAGAGCAGTGGTTTCAAAATGACCCTTAAAACGACCAATTATTCCTGCGAAATCTTTTCTGCACAAAGCATCAGTGTTCAATGTTCACGTCATGAGTGGTGCTAAGAGCATCATGGCTTTGAAGTGTCACCGGATCACGACTGCTTTAGAGGGCAGCTATTATGTAACAACTTTCTTCTAGGCATGTTAAATATTCATGTTCACGCGTTTTCATTTCATCGGTGCTAATAAACACCTCACGAAAAAGCACTGAGCATGCATTCATTCTGTGTCTGGCATGAGTGCTAGCCTGTCGGTAAGGCATCCAGCAGCAGAACACAGTGTTCCGCGTGAAGATCCGCATTAGGATTCAGAGCGCTGTAGCACTGCAGCACCGCCGTGTCGAGGCTTACCTGAGTGGCTTTGTGGAATTGCTTCTTCAGTCCCGCGACAGACATGATTCCGAGCGGACTCGAGCTGTTTGTGTCCTAACGCCTGGCCGTGATGGAGGAACAGTGGACGCGATGCAGAGATAGACGCTGGGAATCACCGCGCGCGCGTAGGCTGATTACAGCAGCTGATGATGACGCGCCGCTGACGTCACGCCTCTCCTCATATTACAGCAGCAGAGCCCCTCCTTCAGAGGAAAACCTCCCATCTGGATCTTCAGCATCATTCCTCCAGTCTTCAGTGTCTCATGATCTTCAGAAATTATGAATTATGATCTTTCAGAAAAGATCCAGATCCCAGGGAACACAACACAAGAGAGAGACAGAGAGAGAGAGAGACAGAGAGTGAGAGAGAGAGAGAGTATATCAAACAAGTAGCCCTCACTCAAAGAGTGAACTTTTAATCACCATCATATAAGAAAGGAAAAATGAAACATCCTGGCTTAAGAAATGTTAATGATTTCTCACAAGCATTTAAAGTGGCTTTTTATTCAACAATCAATGCTGGAAAATGTTCCAGAAATATTTATAGAAATAGGTTAGTTATATTGTCGATGGCATGATAATCAATACACTGTCTCAAGCCTCCATCCTTTGACGGTGTTGGGGTTATGTAATCAGATGACTTTTTTCAAGTAACTAGTAAATTAACATTACTTTTAAATTTAAAATTAAATGTATGAGTTACTTTTTCAAATAAGACCCCTACAGATGTGAATTTATATTTCCTTCATTCATTCCACTTTTACGTTTGCCAAAACTTTTATATTAAAAACAAACAAGCAAGCCAAGCCCAGATGAGAAAAAGTAACGCAAAAGTAACACATTACTTTCCATAAAAAGTAACTAGGTAACATAATAGTTACTTTTTTAGGGAGTAACACAATATTGTATCGCTTTCTCTCTTTTTTTTCATGTAATCTCAGATCTGCATGTGGATTACTTAATTTTGCTGACCGAATTTAAAAGATCAGTAAAATAATTCAGATCTTCCCATCACTATTAGTGGCTGTGTAAGAGAGCTTATATCATGTATAATTAGTGGCACATTCACAATCCACGTTTTGATTTTGGGGGAAAAACAGGCAAACCCTGACAGCATGATTCACATGAATGGCCATCACTGGAGAGTTCAGACTCCCTGCTTCAACACACCTGCCTGTCATTGTCAAATAATCCAGTAAGGCAGGGATGTCCAGTCCTAATTGTCTTTCTTCCGGTCTATCTTTGTCTGGATACCTTTTGAAACATTTCTTCACTGCCACCAAGTCTCTCTCAGTTTCTATATTAGTGTAAAGGTTTTCTATATGCACTGAAAAACGCTTAGCCTCCCTCTCTATCCTGCACCTTCTGTACAAAGTGGTCTTTTACGTGTCTTTTAAACAGCTCTTATGCTTTATAGAAGGCAGATTCAAATAAAAGTCAATCCATTTAGCTAATCTGGGAAGGCCATGATGCTTTATCTTTAAGTCGCCTATTTTAGGCAGTATGTGAAATCTCTTGGTGTATCTCACATACTGTGCTTGCTTCTCAGTTAAGTCTTTATGGTATTTTGTCAAGCCTTTTCGCAGCAAAGGCACTTTATTTTTATGTATTTATCTAAGAGGCCTTGTACACAAAACTTGCTTGTAAGAGCAAGACGTCACTAAAAGCAATGATAACTTGAAGATCATTAAATAAGTCAGAAGTTGATTCACTAAGTGCCCTCACAAAGTTAATTTAGGGAAGGACTTGTGGCACCTCGTCTTTTTGAATGGTTAATTAACAATAATCACAACGGGTTTTTATTTTGTGGAAACGCTTTGGGAATATCGTCGGCAAACACAGACATTCGCATTTAGACGGGATTAGATTTCTCAGAGTTTGCCGAAAAACATTTGCTCTGGAATTATTACAGAGGTTGTGTGAGGAAAAACAGATTTAGCAGATCCAGACGGGATTAAAACCCTCATCCGTCCCTCGGGTCATTTTGACCCAAAACTCATTTTTAAAGATTTTTTAAAAATCGAGCGTTGATCTTTATGGTATGAGACTTTGTTACATTTGTCACACTTGAACCGGGAATACATGAATTTTTTTTCGAGTGAATTCAAGCAGTTTAAGGGGGTGCTATAAAAAAAGTATCTAAAGTGTCCCTCGTCATTTTGACCCGCCACTGGAAAAGCATTGAATTTACGAAAAAAACGGCGGATTTTTTAAATTTAATTTTATCACACTTGAGCATGGAGCACACACTAAAAAAATCTGAGTCGATTCGAGGATTCTATGTGGGTGTAATAAAAAAAAGTATTACACCCACAAGTATTACATTCATTTTGACCCGGCCATAGGAATAAATGGAATGTCCGAAAAAAACATGCATACCCAAACAAAGGGCTGAGACTGCAGAATGTCCTCAATGCACAAAAAACTCACATACCCACACACACAGGCACACACACTCCCATTGAAACACATTATAGCATATATGATGTTTCTGCTGGGAAATGACTGTCATTTTGGAATTTTTTTGTGACTTAACACAGTTAAATTTGAGTGATGGGGTGGAGACCAATGAGTTTATATCATATTTATATTTTTAAATGTATCTTTTATATTTATTACATATCTATGAAACTGTATGAATATGCATGTGTTTGGATTAAAATTCAGTATAAATAATTTTTCTTTTTTTTTTTTTACAAAATATAGTTTTTAGTTCTGAAAGCCTTGAGATATATCTCAAGGCTTAATGAAGCCTCAAGTTGGTGTAGTTTTAAACATTTCACTTGTTTGGCTCATTTAAGAATCTCCATAGGATTCAATAGGCCCCTCTAGTGGCTGTAATCATAAAATGCAATTTTATGTAATTTTCCCGCACCAGATGGCATCAGAGACACTCAGTGACCTAGGTCCTGATGGATGATCATGTTTAAAGTATAAATATGCAGAAATTGTCTTTCTTTGTTTTGTTTTTTGGTGAAAAAATGTATAAAATATGCTAATTTTCATAAAAATATCCAGAATTTAATGTGAATAATAAAAAAAAAAAAACTACATAAAAAATGTGAAAAAAAAAAAAATATATAAAAATGGACCAATATAAGCTTTCTGGACCAAAAATAAAAATTGGTGTCATTTTTGGCCTTCGGGTCATTCTTTTGTTATAGGTTTCGGGAGGGACGGATGAGGGTTAAAATCGTAAAGTACGTATAACTTTAAAATTTTGATTTGACCTTTTATTTAAAGGTGAAGATTGCATGATTTTTTATTTTGGTCAGAATACATTCTCTTAAGCCAGTTTATTGTAAACTGACTACTATTCATGGGTTTATATCTTTGACAAAATTGTAAACATTATGCCTCCCAGGCACCATCAGAACATTTGGGATCCGTCAATCACTTTCCAGCTCAACCAATCGCGAGAGTTTGGGGTGTGGCTACTGTAGCCTGAGCCAGAGGGTGTTGTGTGAGCATGGCTGTGCATTACATGAAAAAAATAATCAGATTTGGTTGCAAAAGCGCAAGCCAAAATTCGAAGACTTGCCAAACTAGAGACAGACAACAAGGTAACGCAAGAGTAATCATTGATGGTGTTTTTACAAGATGAAGGGGTTTGATGGAATGCTTGGCTTTCAGTCGAGATGCTGAACTTGACGTAAGCTAAACTCACGTTTTCGCCACATGTGTTAGCTGTCAAGCCCTAGATAAAATAGGAAGATACTGTAAATGTGAGAACGGTTGTAAGGATGTGATAAATGGTAAGGGACGATTGCAATGGTTGCTTTATCTTTGTAATTCCATTGACATTACAGCATCAATGCTTCAAAAAAGGGCACTCATGCGTGAGATGCTGGAAAAGCAGCGAGACACAGCACAATGATGCCCGTCTAGCATGTTTACACAGAAAAACAATTCAAAAGCAGCACAGTGGACGACAGGAACACGCTCTATCTGAACCTGCCCTTATTTAAACCACTTGAAGTAATCGAGTTAAATATGTAGGGGTGTTCCATTGGGTCAGAGGGTACTCTGCCATCCTACAGTTTTACAATCACTAGGACACACTCTTACACAGTTTAGCTTGCACAGTTCTCCTAACCAGCGCTCATCTTGCCACAGCAGTTCATTTCACCCTCTCGTGTATAACAACGGGAGCGATCCTCCTGTGTCGTGTCACTGTTGGCGGATCACTGCATCAGCAGGAGGTGGATACCTGAGACGACACCTGAACCTGTGTTGCAGAGCTAGCTTGTTCTAGTCTTACTGTTTTTCTTCATTGAAGCTTCAGACGCTTGGTATATTTCAAGGCCTGTAAGCACGCTCTAATCGTTCCATTTGGGGCAGCGCTGCTGTTCTGTTTCTACGATTGCTTAAGCACAATTTTGAAAACAGGGCCCGATAATGTTTGCTTGTAGTTCTCTGAGCCTGATAGCATTATTGGCCAAAACCATGTTCATTATCTCTCTCTCTTGTTCTTGCGTGAATATGGACCCCTTCCTCCTTGTCGTTCCCAACCCTCAATCCTATGTAGAGAATTAATAGCATTGGTGTTAGATTCTGACTGTTTGTTTCCTTGATCTCTTGATTGGTTCAGTTGTTCAGTTTTGTTTGTGTTTAGTCTATATTAATCGGCTTTGATTTAACTTATTTTGGTTTTGTCTATCATTGTCCTGTTTGAATTGTCTACAGTATTTCTTTCTTTTTGATTTTCTCCTTTAAAATGGGTTTGTTTCCTGTATATTCGATATGTTTTTGGCCTGGTTTTGAACAACTTTTGTTTGCTTGACTGATTATTGTGTGATATTTGATTTACTGTTTTTTTTTTGTGATTTGTTTCTTTTGTGTGGTTGACTGAGCCTGACGAGTGATTTCTTTTATAGTGACTGCATTCTTTCCCTGTGTGTTACTGTGTGTTTTCTTTGTCTTGATAGGGTCAAGTTGGTGTATTAAAGAATTGTTAAGAAAAGGATTTTTTGTATTGGGGCCTATGTCTCTGACTCTTTTGGTGATGTATTTGCTCACCACTTCTTGCCCTCGTTTCCTGCCACATTTACATTAAAATACAAAATTATTCCTCAGTTTTCTCTCAGTTTTGTACAGATAGGAATGAAATTGAAAGACTAACGCCTGTGTAGTTGTTCAGCTAAATCTAACTGTTTTGATAGTAT